CGTGGGCATTGCCGCGAAAACAAATCAAGAACTACGTCAAACATCTTCTTTTCTGTGGGGGGACCGTGTCTTAGTCAGGCGAAAGACTCCTGACTGCGTGGGCATTTTTTGCTTTCCCCGCATTCTCGTCCTTCTTAGGTTTAGTAAAGAGTATGCCCCTTCATGTTGTGATAGCTCCGAGGCTTCTATTAGTGCTGAGTAAGTCTATTTTAGATGGTGTGGGTGACGGCCACTGCACCGTACATCGTCCTGACCATTCTGCTCATTCGAGGCGTTACTCTGCCCGGTGCTGCTAAAGGAATCTACTACTACCTTACGCCAGATTTCTCCAAGCTGAATGATCCTAAGGTATTCACTTGGGTTAAGCTGGCTTGTTCCCTGCAAAACGGCCATTCATTGTGAGAAACTGTTCAGGTGTGGTCAGCTGCAGCATCACAGATTTTCTTCTCACTTGGACCAGGCTTTGGCGTTCTGTTGGCATTGAGCAGCTATAACGACTTCAACAACAACTGCTACAGGTTTGCCATTTGAGCTGACTTATCACTGATATGATCAGTCGCAGAACCACTGTCACACAACCGTCTGACTGCAACTGAAGAAGCTCTCATTCAGAGATGCCATAGTCACTTCATCCATCAACTGTTTAACGTCCTTTTTCTCGGGATTTGTCATTTTCTCAACGCTTGGGTACATGGCCGAGCTCACCAACAAAGAAGTCAGCGAGGTAGGTCCGACTCATTTCCAAGCACTACGCGCGACCAAACCAGACTGCTAAAGACGTGCGCGGTAGCGTTGCTATTTTAGTTAAACTTTTCTGGGCGACAGAAAAGCACGACCCTTTAAGTGACAAAATCCTTGTGATTGGGATCCTATTCTATATCGCACCGCAACCGCGCGCGTCTAGGTCGGCAGCACTCACATTTTGCTGAAGCGCTTTCCGCGATTCATCGGGTGCATATCAATCCTCCTCGTCAGTTCATGTCAGCTCAGATTTGGATACGTCTAACCAGTTGCTAGTAAGCCTAAGTCTAACAAGCGAGTAAGCCTAAGTTCCAGCAAGCCATAGGCTTAAAGTAGGCTCAAGCCAGAAGCCTATCAAACCCGAAGCTAAATTAACCTTAGGCTTCAACCATCGCGCAACTCCAGCTCTCTCTTGGGAGAACCGAGACAAAGAAAAAATACAATATTTTGATGGGCATTAGCAATGACTCTGTTCCTGCATGACTTTGTCCAAAGATACGTACTCCTTCTAACCTCGAACCAGCTTTCAATAGTACTCGACCAGGTTATAGTAGTAGATAGCTGGCCGCTATGAAAACGAGCGCGGTTTGAGAATTAACACGACTTAATGGGAGATCCTCTTGAGGTTGTTGGCGACCACGACGCCTCGGCGGATCTCATCGTCTATCCGAAAGCGCAAGCTGGCCACGTATGTACAGCAGTGCATGGTCCTTCATATTCTTCGTGATGCTAATCACTCTTGGAATTGACAGCACGGTATGGTCACTAGGTTTTAGTTCTTGTTTTGCCTTAGTTTCAATATCAGCGTTCAAAAGAGAAGAGGGGTGTAGACGACCAAAAATCCCCTTTCCCACCTCATACTCCAAACCTCACACCTTATAGACTCATTTCAGTTCGCCGGGATCGAGGCGCTCATCACCGGTCTCTGCGACGAGTCCCGTCTATTGTCGCGAAACAGAGAATTGTTTGTGGGCGTGGATTTGCGTGCTGTATTATTTTGGCAGCCTTCCAGCTATCAGCTACGTAAGTAATCATCTCCGATCATCACTTCGAGCAATTTACGCACTGACCTATCGTTTTAGGGAGGGCAGTACGTTATCCCTTTTCTCGACGAGTATGGTGTGTCGCTTTCAGTTCTATTCATAGTCACCTGCGAAATGGTGGCCGTTTGCTGGTTCTACGGGATCGATCGGTTCAGCAACGATATCAAGTAAGTCTGCTTATGCTACAGCGGAATGATTCGCCACGCCTCGGAGCGATGTGCGTGCGCGTGCGAGAATAAACAATAGGGCTGCTGCCATCCTGAGTACTAAGGCGCGTTCCGTCATCCATCCCTTTCTATTCCCCCCCCCCTCTTCCCCGGTTTACGGTGCTACTTGAATTCTCCTCAATGCCCTGCGACGCATTAGCTAATAGACGATTAAAGAACGGTGAATGCCTAGCGACTGAGCCTTTTTAAGGAGAGTTGATCCACGATAAGAACGCAGAATATTCAAAGGGCTTAAGTTCAAGTAGTACGTCGACCCCCTCCCCCCCCCCCCCCCCCCCCCCCCCCCCCCCACACTTCCCCCGCTGACCGCGTCAGCACCCATGAATCCCGCATTCATGATACAATGTAAGAGAAAATTAATACAGCAAACAAAAGCAACATAAGAGGACAGGCAAGAAGGAGAAGAAAAGCTACTTGAAGGACCAAGAATTCTTTTTTGTGTAACTGCAAAGGGTTCACATCGGCTTTATTCATGCACTCTTCTCCAGGACTTTCAACCCCTCGCTTTCGCAGTTCCCACTCACAATAATTCACTCTGACTTCAAGCTTGTCTATTTCCAGATCGATGCTTGGCTTCTATCCAGGATCTACTGGAGGGTGTGTTGGATGATGTGCCCCATATTCATCTCGGTAGGTTTCCATAAAGTTGGTTCCACATGCCTTTTGATTTACTCCGAGTTCTGAGCAACTGATCAGTCCATGCCCGGTCGTGGCTTGCCGACCCACTTGTTCACAGATCAATTTCAGATCATCTTCATCATGACCGTATGGCAAGCGTCGCTCGCTCCGATGCAAATGCCTGGATACGTGTTTCCAAAATGGTCGGTAGGACTCGGATGGTTTCTACGAATGTTGTCCGTGTCCAGTGTGCCACTTTTTGCCATCTACATGCTTTCATTTGCCAAGGGAACGTTTACAGAGGTCAGTGGTATTAAATGTTATACCTTTGTGAGTTTTGGGAACTTTCAAACATGATGGAGTCATTTGAACAAAGGAAAAGCGGCACGACCTAGAAATTGAGGTAGCGGTGGTCAGCGATGCAGGGATGAAGAAAAAACGAGGAAAAACAACTTAGAACCTGAGAAATGGGACCCCTTTGCCCGTTGATTTGCGCGTTAGGCACGCCTCATCGCTGCTGACCTCATCAACGCTAACGCTCTCTCTGCCAGGCGGCTAGAGCCAGACGGCGAAGAGGTGGGCGGGCAGCGGCGATGGCGGCGCGGGACAGGGGCCATGCTAAATCGCTGGAATCCTCCGTTGTGAATTGCGTGTCGGTCCGCACCCTTAAGGGGTCCGCCTGCCTTTCTGCCGAGTAGCTTTCACTTCATGGACCTCCGACTCTATCGTGGAATCCTCCTCTAATACTTACCCTCAGGTCAGAATCAGGTTGGATCTTGCTACCGCGATGGGCAGAATGTCGCGTTCAATACGACCCGAGCACTTGCTGTGGGAAAAATTTCAAAAAGAAGTTCCTTGTTCCCCCCCCCTCCCCTCCCCGCTCTCTCTCCCCCGGGAAAAATCCTTTCCCACCCTTATCTGGAAACGGGAAGAGCTTTGCCTAACGTGAGCATGATCCTACTTGTTATTGAGTGAAGATGAAAGCGGAACCTTGCGACTATTGAAGATGCACGATTTCAGCGTCTACGGTGGGCGACCTCACCACAACCACGTCGAATCTCAGCGTCGTCGTTGAGCGCCGATCCAACGCAGAATCATCGACAGCACCCTGCTTCATCCGATTCACACACTATCCCAAGTCTGATCGGCGATCTCTGCCGATCCATGATCGTGCAATCTCAGAAATATTTAGTATTCAACACATAGAGCTACCGTATTCACTTTGTGCAGTCTTTTGTGAATGATCTCGCTGTACTTCTCCTGTTTTGTTCCCTTTCCCAGTCTCTCACCATGACGTCTTCTGACCCACATCTAAACTTCCTTTTCCACACATCCCGATTCTCTGTGCGAAGATTCTCAAACACATTCATAAAATATCATTGTAAATTTACACGTCAACCGAATCGCTTCGAAATATTGAGGGGGGGGAGAGCAAGAAGGCGAGCGTCGGAAAAGGGGCTGAGAGAGGAGATGGTCGCGCCGGCGTTGGATGAAACGGCGGCGACGAACACTCGATGTCTATTGTTTGTTGAGTGTTTTTTCTATATCCATGTTATTGTGCGGTTTACAGGTTCTGCGAATTATCGTGTGTGCAGATATGTGTTGACGCATTGAGTCCTAATAGTCAGTTATTAGTAGTTTAGGTCACAAATTATGTTGTCCTGGTGACAAGATTTCATAGTAAATTAAAGTAATTTAGTTATTTATCCACTGAACGCACACTTCTGAGTAGAGTGTAGAAAAAAAGTAGCCAGCTTGAGGCATTAAGTGCACAACATGAGCGCTCCACGGGTAGTGAGCGATGCAGGAAGCTCTTGCATCGTAGGGATAGTCCTACGAGTTACCTGCTGTTTTTTCAGAAAAACCAGTAAGCGCGTTCAAGATGCAGACCACACACCACAAGTGACGACGGCCTGCACAAAATGTAGTTTTTCTGTCCATAAAAAGATTAGCCGTCGCAGTTGTATTCTATCAGTTGTTACTGACTATAACTAAAATTTATCAACTATAACCATGAATCACTAATTACCAGATTTACTTTGAAGGTCGTCGTCGCTTGTGGTGTGTGGGCTGTATTCGACACGCTTCTGATTTCTGAAAGGGGAGAAGTTAGCGCCTCTAGAATACAATTGAGCAGCCCATTCGTTGTCGTGGGAGATGCTGTAGCTTAGTTGATGATGCTGCAGGAACAAAAACGACAGGCGTCAATTTCGACAGCCTGTCGAGAAGTATTATTAGGCAGGATAGGCAGCGATGGCTGTGGCTCGAAGTTTGGATTGCATGAAGTTTACCGTCGCGCTGCTCCTTTTCGCTACACACTGACATGATGATTGGAACTGAAAGCTGTACAAACAGGAACTGGCCGAACTAGCGATGGATGCCCTTCACTCCTGCATTTACGTACGCCGGACCTAATATCGTTGTTGCTAAAGTGGAATTCGTTAAAGGCAAAATGATATTGGTTAGTATGCGGACAAGCGCCTGCAGGTGGTATATGTAGTGTATAAGTTCGACTTAACGAAGTTGGTAAGCCTACACAATGATGAGGATTTCCTAGTGCAGAGGACTATAATTTCTTCACAAAAGTTCCCGAAATCCCTCAACGAGGGCTGATCGGCTACTGGTCGCTAGGCAGCAGAAGACTTTTTTGTTTTCGCAGTCCGGAACTTTTACACTGCGAGAACCTCAGGTCCACTCTGCGGGGTGGACCTGGGGTTCCCGCAACGAAGAAGTTTCGTGCTGCGTGAACGAAAAGTCGCTTTATATTCTAGCGAACTACACCCAACAGCAACCGTCGAAGAAACACCTTTTCTAAGCTGTTCCAAAACAAACCACTGCTACCAGAATACCAATGTTTCAAAGAGCTCCATGTATTACTGCTCATTCAGAATTTATTAAGCATATGTTCGTTATAATAATACTACCCTTAGAATACTTCATATTTTACCAAAGTTACGATGATCAATCATGCGTAATTCACAGGCGTAGATTCTGTTTGATATAAATTTCAGATAGAGAGCACAACACAACGCAGAGCGAAAATGTGGAAGATACAACACTCGAAATCACCTGACCCGTCAATGTTTGGAAAGAGGAAATGTGCGCTTGCGCCCTTTCATAGCACTACCTAGGTGAGGTTAAGAAGGAAAATAAAGTATGCATAAGTATAAATGCGGACATCCGACACTACACTCAACTACTAATATATCTACGATTGTAAAAGAAATAAAAATCGTCATACATTTTCTAGACATGAAAATTATACGGGAAACTTAAACGGTTTTTCGATAACAATTAAGGTCAGTGGTTTCCTTCGTGATATTTAAAGCGGCAGTCGCGATAAACTGATCTCGATAAAAATGAAAACGAAGGCGGCAAGTGGCGTGTAGGTGTGGCAAAAAAAAACTCGAGAAACGGCCAGGACCCCAAGAGATGAGAGCCTCTTTTCGCTACCTGATTTCACTAGTGAACGCGCTTCCCTCTAGAGCTCGTTCGTGTGAAGTAAAAAATGGACATCAAACCACCAGAATCTAT